CAGCAGCACCATTAATTTTTCTAGAATTTAATTTTCCTGCCTAAAATATGAAAATAAAAATGTGAGTGAAAAAAAATCCAAAAATTAAAATAATTTTTTYCCATTAGGTTCCACCTTATGTGTTTTTCTTCATGTGCTGTGGTTCGTACCGTATCCATTCCATCTATGTACTAAGGCTCTTCAATGACCCTGTAGCCATGCTTTTCCTTTATCTTGCTGTACTTTACTTCATCTACAATAAATGGAATATAGGATGCTTCTTATTCAGGTAGTAAGCTTAGTCCAACAATCCTAGGCACATATTTTTATATATTTTCTTATATGTATATTTAAAGGGTACCAAAAGTCATCCAATGTAATAGCATTTACATGCCTTGAGGACCAAGTTTGCAGCAGCATTATTGTCAGTTGAGGTTGATTATAATTGTAATTATTATCATTGTCATTATCATCATCTACCATTATCATTGACATTGTCATCATCATTATCATTGTCATCATCATCACCATTGTCACCATCAAAATCAATGTCATAATTTTCATCATCATCATTATAATCATCACTGATGTTGCCATCATTATCACTGTCATCATTATCACCGTTATCATCATCAACACTATTGTCAATTTTCATTATCATTATCACCGTTATCAGCATCAATGTCGTAATTTTCATCATCATCATCTCACTGATGTTGCCATCATCATTATCACTGTCATCATTATCACCATTATTATCATCAACACTAATGCGATAGTTTTCATCATCATCAACCATTATCAACATCATCATTATCAACATCATCATTATCAACATCATCATTATCAACATCATCATTATCAACATGGTGTGCTGTTATGATAATATTAATGCTGAGTGATGAATGTTTCCATTTCTAGTATTGGTGTTAGTATCAAGATGAATATTCTTCTATTTGCGCCTGGTTTGTTACTGTTGCTGCTCCAGACGTTTGGTGTCTGGTACTCCATACCAAGACTATTCATTTGTGCCATGGTTCAGGTACGTTATGCACATAATGCATTAAATCAATATTCTCATATTTCCATCCTATTCCATCCTATTCCATCCTATTCCATCTTTCTAATCCCATTCAACCTATATTTTCATTTATTACATTTCATCCATCACATATCCATTCCTTGACCATCCCACTCATTCTTTTATCCTTCATACATTCATCTGTCAATACCTCCTTCAACTGCTCCATCCATCCATCCA